TTCTTGTATCCAAACAATTTTTTCCATTTATTCTTCTATCCAAATAGATTTTTCTCTTATTCTTATATCCAAACAACTTTTGTTTCCATTTATTCTTCTATCCAAATAGATGTTTCTCTAATTCTTGTATCCAAACATTAGAATGTACTTCTCAATTAATAATATAAAGATTCAACAGATCATCTATGATAAACCCATTCTAATTACCCAATTTGTATGTATCTGTTTTGAACTAAGAGCAATTAGGTATTTAGCCCATTAAGTAACATTTATATGTCCAAATATTAGCGTTTCTTCTGCTTTAGCCTACTTGTGCTGTAGGCTTTAGCTTATCGCCATTTTTTTTTCCTTTGACTGATTTGTCCACAAGAATCTTATTATATAAAGTTGGATGCGCGCGACGTGGTTGCGACATGTAGGATTTTTATAAAATATAAGATCGCGACATGTGTCACTTTTAATATTATGTCCGTTAAGATCGTGACACATGTCTTGAAAAAAGGAAAAAAATTAAAGGGAAAATTTTAATATCTTATAATAAAAACGAAAATTTATATAATAAATTGAAAATATTGTAATAAAAAATTCCTATTAGTATATGTAATAGGTATATAAACTAAATATCATAATTGTATGAAATATAAGTTACATAAACACCTATTTAAAAAAGTCCTATTAATACATGGAATAGGTATGTAAACTAAATATCCTAAAACTGTATGAAATTGGTTACATGAACCCCTATAAAAAGAGAGCTAATGTAGTCTCTTTTTCTCATTCAAAAACTCTTCAAAGCAAATTCAGCAAATCTCTTTGATTCTCTTTCTCAATTTTTAAAATCATGTCTTTGAAAGTTCAAGAGAACATTGGATATTATTTGACTCTAGGTCAATTGTACCATATACCAACTCACTATTACGAAATTTCGGAGATCAGATGGCCGAAGAAAACATCATCGAAATTTATAACTTTAATGTGCAGTCTGCTGATAAAAAAACTTATAAAGTTTCCAGCCATCAATCTTTTATAAGAATAACAGAAAGAACGAAGATCAATTGTATCAGTCAAAGTATCAGTCAAAGTGCCTGCCAGATACGGTTGGAAAAATTTCGGCTTCGGACTTACGAAGATTATGTCAATCTTTAGTATAAGACCGTCGACTTATACGATATTTACTTTTGTTCTCATGCTATAATTTAATTAATTTCCATAGTTCTCATGCAGTGTTACGTAAGTAATCATATTAATCAATCCCTAACAAAATAATTATCAAGCAAGTAATTAATTTTAAGAAAATATAATGAACCGATATTCTAATTTTAAACAGTTTAATTTTCAATATTGTTAGGTAAAAAATTATTTATGAAATATTTCATCAAGCAATTGAAATCTCTTGAATAGAATAATAAAGTTTTGTTGAATTAATCAGTTGATCAGATTTAGACATATATAAGTCTTTCTATATTGGAAAAAAAAATTAATTAATTCATTTTTCATATCATGAATTCAAAACAAATATCAATTATACTAAATATTTTTATCGGGTTTTTAATATTATTCTACTTACTTTAAAAATAATCAAATTTTGTTAAATATTTTTCCATGTTTTTATTACAAAATATTAAAATAAACCCGCATATACGCGGGCCTTAATCTAGTTCATAATGATGGTTTACTTTGGTTTATATTGCATGAATTGTTAAGTATCCTTTTTCTGACAGTTCGAAACTCCCTTGTCGTCGGAAGTTGAAAAGGTGTTGTCGTGTTGATGGGGTTCCATTTTTTTGTTAGTCTTTGGAGAAGCTATAGGTGCTATATTGATGAAGTTTTGAGGATTGGCCTATGATGGGAGTGCTCGTGGCAATTATGATGAAGACTTAAGTTACACGAAACATTGGCAACAATGCAAAATTTTGGGATCTATGTTTGGAATTGGTGTTTCTACTCTCGGATCAACTCGGTTTGGTGTATGTTTAGCTTGTCGCTCGAGGCTTTCTATTATACTGTTTTAATCAGATATTTTCTTGTAGTTTTTGGGTTTTTCTGCCTTCTCGTTACTACTATAATTTATGTCAAAAACTGAAAAAAATTGGTATAAAATCTTTACATTTTAACAAAAAAAAAACCAAAATATCCTTTTGTAATTTGTAAACTTTGTACTATCAATTTGGATTTTCGAAGGTTTTGAGGTGGGAGACCCTTCTCAAAGGGCAAAAAGCGAAAGACAAATAAAACCTTCACAAAAAGTTCAGGAGATGCAATGGATCATGGCAGGAGGGCGAAGAAACAGAGGTTGTGGCGGTCGAGGAGGCCGCGGATCACCATCTTAGGAGTCTCTAGAGAGCCATCTCTAGTTTTTCTTTTATTCTCTTTAGTTTTCTACTCTGCCGTAGAATTCTAATTTTCTTAATCAACTTTATCGAACTACTAGATTAGGCTCCGTGTATATGCGGGTTTATTTTTTATTTTTATTTTTAAATCATGAAAGAATATTAAACAAAATTTGATCAATTTTAAAAATAAGAAAATAAAATTAAAACCCGATAACAAATCTCTAAATAAAGATATCTAGTCTTTTACATTTTTATTTTTAATTCATGATATGAAATAGAAAGATTTACATGTGTCTAAATCTAATCGACTAATTATTTTATGAAACTTTGATTATTCAAATCTTTATTTTTAATATTTTTTAGCTATCAAAACATAGAAAATAAACTATTTAATATTAGAAGATCAGTCCATTATAAAATTTTATTTTTTAATCTTATTTAGTTTTTTTGTTAGTTTTCTATTTATATTGTTTCTTTTTTAATTTTTGTTTTTGCCTCTGACCATTATAAATTTTCATTTTCATTATTAGTTAGTTATTTTAATATTATTTTATTAATTTATTTATTTATGTTACTACATTTTTTCAATTTTCTTGTGTTGACATATGTCATCACTTCATCAAATATTAGACACATGTATCTATCTAAAAAGTATTCATTTTCGTAATGGGAATATGTTTTTTATTCCTTTTCTTATGAGATGTAACATTTTTTAATTATTTTTTCTTTTTTATATGGGGTTCATATAACCAATTTCATACAGTTTTAGGATATTTAGTTTACATACCTATTACATATACTAATAGGATTTTTTTAAATAGGAATTTATATAACCTATTCTATACAATTTTAGGATATTTTTAGTTTTCATACCTATTCCATATACTAATAGGAATTTTTTTATTACATTATTTTCATTTTATTATTTAAAATTTCGTTTTTATTATAAGATATTAAAATTTTCCCTTTAAAATAAAAATTTCTTTTTTTCAAAGACATGTATCACGATCTTAACGGATATAACATTAAAAGTAACATATGTCGTAATCCTATATTTTATAAAATTCCTACGTGTCGCAATCATGTCGCGCGTATCCAACTTTATATAATAATATATGACCCCAAAGTTATATTTTTATAATATTTTGTTTATGCATTTAATTTGAAAGCCCTTTTACAAAATATATATATATATATATATATATATATATATATATATATATATATATATATATATATAGATATTTGGATTTTCGAACCGAACTAGAAATTAACACATGCTGTTTGAAGAAAAAGAAAAAGAAAAAGTTAAAGTTCGATAAGTATTTTTTTTTTCGCGAACCAGAATAGGATAAGTATAACCTTTCAACTTAAGAAACGCAATGACATTCTTCATAGATCAACCTCTCTTCAATGTTTTCTTGAACTTTAACCATTTAGTTAATCTTATGCATCAAAATTATGAGGTACAAAAAAAAAAAATGTTCTCTTAAACCTATTCTAATTTTCTAACTAATCATTATCCAAAACAACTCAACTTTATAAAAATTTATTTATGTAACTGATTATACGAAGTTGATATTTAATTTCATGACATTTCACGTTTGAAGAAGTTGTGAAGTTCTTTATTTTATCCTCATGCGGTTAATTAAATCTTTCATACATATATAAGTTATGGCACGGTGTTAGTTGAAGTGAAATACTAAACTAAAGAGGAGCAGCCACACTTTTTTCTAACCATCTATTCTTAGTATATTATGTTTTAGAATTTTGCTTTGTTGTAGAATGGGTTTATTATAGTGGAGCATACACACATTTCTAACCAACTACATTAGTTGAAGGCACTAAACTAATCGAACTGTCATTCTTCATTTCTTTTATGTTAAAGATCTGATGAAAAATATCTTTCAACCAGAAAGAGTTAATCGTAGGAACAAAACGTACCACCTTCTAACCATCATCTTAATATGTAGAAAAGACTCAAGAAAATTATATTTTAACCATCTATACAATTTTGTCTAGGGGTGCCAAGTCCGAAGTAATTCAATTTTGCCTAGGGGTTCCCAAATAGGTAATATTGGACTTTTTAATATGACAAACTATTCGGTTTTGGCTCGAAGGGAATCCAATGCCAATGTCGGTAGCTTGTACAAAACTTGTACAAAACTAGTATGAAATAGAATTTACATAATACACATTATGTAATGTAGTCATTGATGAATTTGTATCTACATTGGAGTGTTGTAGTATTATCAGTTATTTGTGTGAGATATGTGAAGCATTTTTTTTTTTAATCAATCTAGAGTTTATCAATGCTCTTTTGTCTCCTACGACAGTAATAATCAAATACACAGCTAAACGTTTAGTGATTTAGAGATTTACACTACCCTGTTGCTTCATTGGCTCTGTGATCTATCCCGTTTAATTTGTTTTTTTTCCTCCTCACCGTTGAACACATACTGTAAAAAGGAGTGTATTTAACAACAGCAAATTCCATTGAAATTGCAACAAGAAACAGTAATACGTTAATAAGGCTTCTGAGGGATGAAGAGAGAGTACTACTAAGATAAGATAAAAACAGAGAAGAAGAAAATTAGAACATTCCTTAAACAAACAAAAGTCATACTACTCATAATAATGTCTAATAATAGTGGTAGACTGAAAGCAATGACGATGATGGTGATGATGAGAGACTCATCAACCATGGGTGCTGTGGGTTTTGATAGAGTGAGCAAGGTAGTTCTTATGCAAGATTTTGCAAGTGACAACATCTTTCTCTTTGAGCTTGTTCCTTCTCCTGACCGCCATGTCAGCGCGGGAGAGATGGCCATGTGGCTTCTTCCTCTCAGAGTTTTCCCTCTTTTCTCATTTAATCGAACAAAAATTCAGATATAATAGACTCTTTTCTTCTCCGGCGAGATTGGAATCAACTTGATTGATCGATTCGATGCCTCCAAGTTCCCGACTCGATTCGGTGGTCAGATCCGTGGGTTTAGCTCCAAAGGTTACATCGATGGGAAGAATGAGTGTCGGCTTCACGATTGTTTGAAGTATTGCATTGTCGCTGGAAAAAAGGCTCTTGAGATTGCAAATCTCCGCGGTGACAAGCTTCACACGGTACATTTTCACTCCTCGCTATCTTAGATTGATCGATTTCAATTGTTCTGATTGATTTGAAGATTATTCAGCTTAAGACCTCTGCAATCAATCGGGTTTGGAGGTTAAATTTGATGAATTTCGATCGATTAATTTCTACTTGAATTTTGAACATGAGTTTGATTTCTCTTTAGTGGGTTTAACCAAGTTTCTCTTGAGTTTATTTCAGACAGTGTTCAAGCTCTGATAGAGAAAGGCCATAGGAGAATCTCCGTTTTTCATTCCTTATGCAATAAGAAACATGGGGTATGCATTATTGGTGATCGATCTTGGTCTTATGGGTCCAAACTACTCGATCACGACCGCTTGAGAGCCATAGTGCTTACACGGTGGACAGCGAATAGACCTAAGCCGATGATGCATGTGAGTTTATATTTATTTTTCAAAAGTAATCATAAAAGCAGAGACTAACTTCAAAGATTCTGTTTTTGTTTCAGTTGTTGCATGGAGCTCTTATGTGGGTAGTAGAGCTCTATCAGCTAATCCTTGAAACCTAGGGGAGCTCTAATCACATAAGCAAATGATATTATAAGGTTATGACGATATAGATTGTACGACCTGGGAGACAAATGTTTGCATCAGCGAGGCCGAGAAGATGATCATGGGATCTTATCTAAAACATCTTCCTAGGGATAGTTACGTAATGAACATGTTGCTGAGTGAAGGATGTTGTGTCGATGAACTTAATCTCCAAAGCCGAGGAGGTGAGTTTGTAGAGCTTGGTGCATGTTCGGACTTCGAAGTTTCCCAGTAGGAAAACTGCTAGTTCTAATAACTGAGTTAGTACTACAATTGCTTTCATATATTCAAGCTACCGACATTGGCTCCACATATGATAACTTTTACATTGACCCTTGATATCACCATATTTTACATGATTTTACTATATATTACTTATGTTTTCAAACGGTTTTTGCAAGATTCTTTGCCTTTAGAGGTAGTTTTCTTGTATTTGTGGGATTTGAAGTCTTTGTAGGTGAAAATCAAAAAGGATGCAAAAAGGAGTAAAAGAGCCTAAATCAAGATCCATGCAAGTTTCCAAGTCAAGAAGATCATTTTATCTCCAAGTGTTAGTTCTCGCTAGCGCGCAGAACGAAGCTTCGGAAGTTTGGCCGCGCGCGGAGGAGTTCCCGACGTCCAAAAGTTACGATCTTGATATGGAAAGATAGATACTTGAGTCATGCATCACGTCGAAGTGGAATGAAGCCATTTGGATCAACTATGAGGCCTAGACTTATTTTCTACCGAGACATGTCCGGTAAGCGAGTAAACGAAGCCCATGGAGGATTTGGAGTGTCTAATGGCCCGAGCAGCAGCGCCAAAGGCCTTGATCGAATAGAGAAGAGGCCTGGCTAATGTTTGGAGCTTTCCTTGGTACAATGTCGGCCCATACACGACGTGGAGAAGAAGGCTCGGCGCATGGAAACTTTCCTTTTCCGGCATGAAGAAAACCCTACGCGACTTCGCCCATATATACATGTTTTTAGCCGCTGAAGAAGAGAGTCGAAGTTCTTAGAGTTCAGAGAAGAGAGGAAGAGAGAAGCCCTAGGAGATCGTCCAAGAAGAAGGAGGCGCCGCTCAACTCTTGTTCTTTCTTTTTCATTGTTTCCATTTCTTAAACTTGATCTTAAGAGTTTTCAAGGGAGAATCCGACTTTGTTCATCAATAGAGAAGCTTTCTTCATCCCTTTATCTCTTTTAATACTTGCATAATGTTTACAATCATGCTTTGCTTGCTTGTTTGCATCATGGCCGAGTAGATCTCTTAGTTAGGCCGAGGAGATCTATGGTGGCCGTGATGATTTGATTGTGTTGCAACTTATTGGGATTTATCTTATGGATCTTCACCTTTACTTGAGCTTAATGCATGATTACTCTACCGTACATCTAGTAATCTGATCTTAGAGAAATAGAACCACGACAGTGCTGAATCTAGATCTCAAAACTAGTATTTGGTGAGCAATAGATCATAGCCAACGAAAGCTGAGTTATGGTTTATTGTGAACAATTGAATCTTGAACCTTGTAATGCATGTTTGCAATTCTAATAGCCAACGAAAGCTGAGTATATTAGGTTGTTTCAAACATAGTGGTTGGAGCCACGACAGTGGAAAGACCATACACTAGTGATTCATGTTCAAGACGGCTCTACACACATCCCATGCAACTATCTTTTCATCATTGCTCCATATGATTGTCCTTTGCCTAACTCTTGTTTTAAATTGTTTACAACTCACTCACATTTCTTTTGTTTTTTTTTATTCTAGGTCCAAAACCATCCATATTGCGAGCTAGCTACAAACCAATCTCACAAGGTGTTAAGCGAGAACACTTCCTCCTCGTGTTCGACCCCGACTACAACACGGCTGTGCACTTGCAGCTCATTAGTTGGGTTTATAAATTGTGAAAATTTGAGGCAATCTAAACCCGCCATCAAGCTTTCTGGCGCCGTTGCCGGGGAGGAGTTGCTTTTCCTTCACACCTCTTGATTGATTTCAAGACTAGCTCATCTCATCTTTCACTTTTCTTTGTTTTTGTTTTTCATAAAATCTTAAAAACTCATAAAAATTTTACTTAACTCTCTCTTTGTGTGTTTCTAAGGTGCATGACAAGAAGGTCCAATCCAAATACAACCATTGAAGAAGATCTTGACATTGACCAACTTGAGCGCACACTTAGGCGACTAAGAGAGAAAGAATGAATCCAGGCGGAGAAGGCGCGCCAAATAGGCACACAACCGCCCGACCAAGAGAGGAGAGCCAATGACCCTCCTATACAACCAGAAGTTGGAGCTGATCAGCCAGCACCAGCCGGAGCAGTGCCTCAACCCGATCCGAACGCTCCCGGTGTAGCCGAGCAGCCGCAGCCGCCTCCTAACCAACCACAATCGCCTCCGGTGTTCCAAAACAATGGACTCCTGATGTTGAGTCAGGTTTTACCAAACTCTTAGACCTCTGCAAGTGCACAGATCGCGGAAGTATGGGTATCGAACACAAGGACTGGCTATTGAGTACACTTTGAAACTATGGATTTTGGATCAAGCTAAAACAAAAGTATGATTGAGGTTGTAATGGTGAACAGAACTAGCAAGTATAAACGAGGTTGTAAATCAATAAGGAAGAAGCGCTAGGTCAACAGGGGCTAATCGCAGAGAAGCAAGCAATGATCAATGAAACAATGATAGATGAATTGATTAGGGATATTGGGATATTAAGAACCGTCTAGAACACAGATCACGAATATAAAACCATTCCACTTTCGAGGCTCCGGCTCCTTTGTTAATCTACCTAGTCGCTAAACTTTTGGTATGTCCCTAGGTGATTAAATCAAGCTTTAGAATGAATAGGTTCTGATACAGTTCACTAGATTATAGTAGATCAACTTTCGCAGTCTAAGAAACCTAGCTTGTCAAAGAATATGTCCGGCGAATGATACAACACTGTCGAGGCTCAAATCAACCTAAGATCGGATTACTAGATGCGCGGTAAAGCAATCAGCATTAGTTAAGTGCACAAGACGAGACAAAGACTCTAATAATCCCTAGCTAAACATCGAAATCAAAGATCATGCAAGCAACTCATTGAATAGTAACCCTAGCAACCTAACTAGTGGATTACTCAGACATGATCAAAGCAAACACACATAGAGATGAAGAAAACATGATTGCAATAAAACTTAAGTAGAAATCGATACAAGGGCGGCTCTCTTTTCAAGAGGCTAAAAAGTTGTATTTATATGCTAGGCTTTAGAGGCGGCATTAGGTTAAGCCGGGCTGTGAAAACGTGTGAAACGGGCTTTGGGTCGATCGGACCGTTCGGACTTGATGATAGGATTTTACGTGGATGTGATATGATATGAATGAAATGATAAGATATGAGGTGGAATGCAAACAGGGGTGAATAAAGATGAATGGTATGGTGCAATCACAATCAATCAATTCCTCTTAACCATCATAGTCATTGAAGTATAAGAGGTTATCAATCCAAAATGGGAAACTTGTCACTCTATGAGAATATGAAACAACCAGGAAGTCAAGCAAGCAGTTAAAGATTTGAAGTAACACTAACAACCTAAAAAAATGAAAAGCAGTGCAATAAAAGTAAACAAAGCAGTGAAGTGTCAGCTCGACCAAGAGCTCGAGTCGAGTAGAGCAAAGTACCAGCTCGATCGAGTTTAGGGACGAGTTGAGACAAACAAAGCTAAAGGTGACGACTTTAACAAGATAAAGAGAGAATTAGGGTTCAAGACAGGGTTTTGCAATCAAAGGAATCTACACTTAATCAATCTAGCTCTTAAAACTCCTTGTATCAAGGCTTCTCTTGATATTGGGCTTCTCAATGCCTAGCCAACCCTTTCCCAAGGTGGAGGCTATCAACCAAGGAATGATCTCAGAAACAGGGGGTTAGCCAGTGAGAATCAAACCTTGGAGGCTATAGGATCATTGCCCAAACTAATCCATCCAACCCCTTAGACCTCTATTGTCTAGAGCAAGAGATATTGGAGCTCTTAGTGGATCTTTTCCAGCGAATGCCATCACTTTCGTGTGGGGAGTCGCCTAAGGACTTACAAGCCAGGGGTAGTGGTCATGTAGCCTTAAGATCTATCCAAAAGAGAGAGAATCTAGATTAAGACCATAAGCTAGAAGGATTAAGCATATGAAACCTCTAATCTATCCCATCTCAAACCCTAATGGGTAACTACTCACTACACATGAATGTAAACACAAGCAAATGCAATAAAAGAGACATCATAAGAAAGAGGAGATGAAATTAAACAACTTTTATTGAAATAAGCAAGTGCAAATACAAAGAGATTATCCAGGATCTAGGATTCAAGAAGCAAGAGCTTCAAGAACACAAAGATGGGATTAGATCTCTAAAAAGTAAAAGACAATAAATTAAAAGAAACTAAAACAAAATAAGTAAAGCTTGGTGGTTTTTTCGTGGCTTTTAGCCTTTAAATACAAAGAGGATTAGGTTTAGGGTCAAAGGAAAGTCAAGGGGGAAGCAACATTTTTCGGGTTTGACTGTTGACTTCTCAGCTCGATCGAGTTGAAGCTTGGCCGGTCGAGTTGAGGAACTCGACCGGTTGGTCGAGTAGACGGTCGAGCTGGTCTTCAAGATGGCTTCTCCCTTCTTCCTTTGCGTATCCAGTTGAGCTGCGTCCATGTGCCAAGTCCCTCCATGCTCCTCATGTCCCATATGCTCCAGAATGCTCCAAAAGACCTATTTCAAAGGACCAAACATGCATATGTATGCAAATGCAACCTAAAACTAACATGAATGCATAAGAAGAGAAAAGGAACAAGATATGATGCAAATGGAAGCTAAAACTATGCAAAAGATGCATAAAAGATGTGCTAAAACTATGTAAAATGCAAGTACATCAACACCCCCAAACTTGAACTTTGCTTGCCCTCAAGCAAACAAATAGAACAAGAAGGGATGAGGTTTGAAAACGAGCTGATTCAACACTTAAAAACATGTCCTCAAAAGCGATTTGCTAAATGTCCAACTTAGAGATTCTAGAATGCAACAAGGTGAGAGATATTCATTAAGATTTAACCATGCTTATCAACATCAATCCCACTTCACAGTCACTCAAACAATGCATTCAAATCAGCAAATCCCTTTAACATTCATTAAGCAAAAACAGTGAACCATGCAAAGCCAAATCCAGATGATATTACTTTACTCCTAGGCTGACAAAGAAATCCAGATGAACATAACTAAGGGAAATTTCTGCAATCTGGCTTTGTCATATTCAGACGCTAGCAAGCAATTAGGAGGACACTAGAGAGGGACGATTTCTAATCATATAAGATTACCTGCCCACATGATAACACCACCAGCGCTTTCAATTCGCTTTCTTTCATCGCTTCTATTTGGCTTATGGTCATCGGATAGCGCGATCGCTGAAGAACATGTAAAACAGTATATTTGAAAAGGGTGGTTGAATGAAAACAAAACAACAAAGGCACGTGACCAATCATAAGAATCCTTTAACTTATTAACTTAAATGTTCTCTAAGGAAATTCATGATTCATTTCCTAAGCTCATTTTTGGCTGAAGCTCTCAATTTTTTCATCTTTAAATGATCCTGCCACATTGTTTTTGATGACAGACGAAATACTGACCTTTCCCAGATTTAGAAACTATAGTCCTTGAGTCTCCAACATTTGCAACATACAAATGGTTCCCCACCAACACAGCAGTAGATGCTGTGGAGCCATCATCTCTGTAAGTATCCTTTTCTGACTCAAGGAACGCTACATCAGTTTGTTTATATGTTTCACCTGCAAAGTTGGTCAAGTTAGAAGGTGACCATCACTTGTATCAAGCAGTAGTACGAGGTCGAATTTTTGAGATTATAACAAAATTTTATGCGAGCCATAGAACGTACTTAGTGCCAGCTTGGTGTCTGTCAAAAATTGTGGATGCTTCATAAGATTGTCAAAGAGGTGTTCCTTCAGGTACTCAGCAGCACGTGAGCCACCATGACCTGTGATAATTAAAGCTCAAATATTAGAGAAGGAAAACTAAATTTGTTCAGCAACATATGATTCTGCTTATGACTATTAGATGAATGCATACTGATTGTACGACTGTGCACTGCAGACTTTTACCTAAACGGTCTGCTATAAAACCCAGACGCACCAGTTAATAGGTCCAAATACGGACTCTAACTAAGGCAATTCGAGATCTTTCTTGAAAATAGTATACATATAATTGGTGAGGCCTAAGTGGAACAAAAAATTAAAATCAGCAAATGAAGCTGGACTGTGATTAACTCAGCCAGATAGATACAATTATGCTATGGCAAGTTGAAAAACAGACTTCAACACAGATCAAATATCTTCCACAATTCACGCCTACCACTTCCTTTTCATCTATAGTTTTATGCCAGAACAAAAGAAATGCAAAACATAGAATTAGAACCTAACCATCAAATATTCCAAACATGCAAACTGTTTGGCCGTCAATCTTGGAAGCTTTGATATCATAGAAGTCTTCCATCGTAGACCTTTTCCCTCTGAAACTACAGTACCCACAGCTCAAGCTCCCATCGTCACTGTTATTGAAAGAACTTTGATTAAGAACTTACTTAAAAAAACAAACTAAAAGAGTAGAACACAATACTATTACATTTTTCCAAAGTCACAAACGGCTACACATTGCCTACATAACAATACCAAGCTTCAACGTATAGCGCAAATCAATCTGTTCCATGATATAATCATCTGTATAACATGTGACAAGTGAAACAACTAAAACAGATATTGCTAACTTCAGTACAAGTCATATTTCAACGTTTTTGAATATAACCTAGGCGTTTGCTACACTCAGTTCAACCATTAAAAAAAAGAATAAGGGATGTAACAAATGAGATCTACTCACTTTTTCCACCCACCACCGATGTAACCAGCATCATCAACTTTCTCAGGCGGCATATCAACTAACGATACACGTTTCTCTCCTGCAGAAGCATCGACCATCATCTTTGCACTCGTTCTGAATCCGAAACCAACACTAAAGGTCTTCTTAATATGACTTAACTGCTGTCTTCCTTGAGCCAACACCCCAAAATGACCAGCCTGAACAATGACACTCCTAATGAAACTGGTGCATACCATCAGGCAGGTCTTACCTTATAATCAGTTTCTCCAATGCAGGAGCTGTGTAGAAAAGAAAAAAAAAAATTATCTCTCATTAGTTTGTATCCCAAAATATATGATTTCCTAAAATCATGAAGCTAAGATACATCTAACATCCTTCAAAAGATTTGATTAGATTTGAGGATATTGAGGATACAAAAACACGATCATCGTCTACAAATGAGTTAAGATGAAGATAAATGAATACAGATCTTGTATCCCTACGATACGTTAAACAAAAGTTGAGATAGATCCTGCGTATTCAGCGAGTAAGATGAAAGAATTCAATCAGCGAATCATGATCAATTGGCGAAAACAATCCGTCAGGTAAAGCGATCTAAATCCAAATTTCCAAACAATTCGATTCATCAAATTTCGAATAACGAAACGGATCAAAGTAGAGAGAAGAAAACTAACAGGTATCTTCTCGAATCGACTCGAAGAGGAACGAAAAAAATCCAATCAAATCAAGGATCTGTCGAATCCTGGTATTCTCAGAGCTCTGACAAAGAATCGAATCGGATTAAGAAACGGATCGGAGACGCGTGCTGTTGTATCACGGATCCGAATCTGAGAGTGAAGAAAATTTGCTCCACGAATCAGCTTTTTGGAGCTTCCATGGAATCTGAGAGAATCCAAGAGAGATGGAGATGGAGAGAGAGAAAGAAGGAGAGTGGGGGGTAGTGAGAGGATGTCACCGAACAGAAGCGGCAACGTGGCGCTACTCATGCATTGAGATTTATATTAGCCCATTTTTAAGGATTCTTTTTTCATTGGATTACCTCACTTTACAGTTTACACAACTAATCAACTTTTTTAATTGCTAAAATATCTCTTTTGCTTGTAGGCTTGTAGCCTTGTATAATATATAAATAAAATTTATAAATCTAACCAACCAAAATTTGATGCTCGAGATAATTCAAACAACTACTTCTCAGTTGGTTTAATATTCCTAAAATATTTTGTAATTTGAAAACTAACCCTAGTTTTAAAAACTCTGAAAAATACTTTTTTAACAAGTGAAAAGACAATAAAATCATTATCAGTTTTTAAAATTAACAATGAGAAAAAGGAATTTCTTAATTAATTAAAATATAGATAATATATATTGAATTTAGATATATATGAGAGATTTTCGAAACATAATTTTGATATTTTTAATAAATTTTTACATTTGGATATACACATGTTATTTTCAAAATATATTTATGTTAATCATAAATATGAATCAAACTCTATAAATATATACACATAAATATCATTAGTATGTACCTTTGCTACTTTTGTAGAGTAAATGTTACTATGATTACTATATTTATGAAATAAATTAAATTTTTAAAAAAAGATGTTCTAAATATCTTTTTGTTTTTTTGTATGTTTTATTCAGATTTTATGGGTATATCTCACCCTGCAGATTTTTTTCTTCTATTTTTTATATAAAATAAAATAATTGTTTAGAATACATAAAAAAGATCAATTTGAATAATTAAAAAATAAAAAATAAACGAATTTTAAAACAATTTTAATATCTAGAAAAATTGATGGTGTTTTAGTAATTTTGAAGATTAGAAAAATTAGTTTTTCAATTTTTTTTAAAAGAAGTTAGTTTTCAAAATATGATTAATTTATGTAATATTGGTCCAAATTTTTTCGAAAAGAAGTAAAGAGCAAGAACACAAGAAAATCATACGACTAAATATTGAAATGAAAGCATTAGAAGTTTCAAAAGACAAATAAGAATATAATATGGCTAAATATATGTACATATCAAAATCGAGGGATTGTAGTTAAGATAATCTCTGAAAACACATATAAGTATATTCAACCACATATAAGTATACAGGAATATAATGATGTCTTACGTCACGTCGTTTAAATCATATATGAAAAGAAGCCAACTTTCTCCATATATGTGACATGTGGACACTCTTATGATTGACACATGACATGAATTTTTATTTTCCTTTCAATTAATAACTATAAATTTTATTTCTTTGCTAAATATATTAGTTTAGTATAATTAGTTTATTACTTTAAAATTATTATGTTTTAGTTCCAACTTAACTCACTATTAAATCATATATATATATATGAAAAAGAAACAATCATCTCCATATTTTGAATATATGGACACAAAAGAAGATGATAATGAGTTACAAAATACAAACTATTTATGTGTGAAGCTAATAAGTCACTTTTAGTAATAACGGAAACTACTTAATTATTCCAAAATGGTTACTCTTCGGCTTCAATTTTAAGTTATTATTTAATATATAAATTATCATAATATACGGAGAACCGATCCAGCGAAAAGCGATGAAGGGAATTAAAATATATTCTATGTAACAATGAGTAAACACATAGAGTTGAGAGGACGGATTGTTTGATGCAAAAATATATATTTGAAAGTCAATTGCTAAACAAATAAGTTGAAATTAAATTATGGAGTTTATTTATTTCGAATTTATAATATTACATATCATTTCAAAATAAAAGTCAAAAATTTATAATTTGTTTTATAGTATTTTTTAAAACTATAACAATAGAAAAACCCGCGCGTATGCGTGGACATTGATCTAATACAGTTTGAATTTATCGTTGTGATTGATGCTCCTCTACTCCAGTTTTTGAGGACAAAGATCGACTAAAGAAAAAACTTTAAGATCATCATTTGGGTTTCTCTACCAAAACAAAAAAAATCATTTGGGTTTCTCTACCAAACTAGATTTTGATGTTGGCTTTTGTGATATGAGTAAAAGCTTGATTCAAGATATATACATGCTGATATTTCGAAGATCATCAGGGTCTCATGGACCTAGTTATTAATTATTAGTAATGTTTTTTTGGAAAGTATACATGTCAATATTTGAGCATTTACAATATTCTTCCACGAAATGTTTTCTAACCAACATTCTCTTATTTTTTGGTACTTCTGTAGTTCTGTCACAACTCACAAGGACATCTTCCTATACTCGGAATCGGGCCGTTGCTTGAGTTTCGTCACCTACCCCGATTGAATGCTAAAATTTATAAGTCCCGTTTAGAAATATTGCCTCAAACATAGAAAGAATACATATTGTAGCAATAGTAGTAAATAATTTTATTATACATATGGCACCATTTCTATGATGTCGAGAATCAAATATTCATGCTATATTATGTTTTCTCTTGAATAAAATTTTCTCTAAAATTTTATCAGATTTTATTACAATAAAATTATCAGCTTTATAACAAAAGCTTGAAAGAGCTGAAAGCAGAAATCAATTGAGAAATTGTTAAAATACTTTATTTGTTATAGGCTCAAAGCTATATGTAATTTGAATTTGTGAAGTCTTTCAAAATTAGTAAAATTAGTTTTAAATATTTCTTTTTAGTGTATTATTAACTGAAGATGTTGACCAGAAAATATGTGTATATAATATTTTGGTAAAATTATAAAAACACGAGAAATATTAATGGCAGTAATTTCAATAGTGGTTGACTCTAAGTTGTTTATATATAACTATATAAGGTACTGAAAAGTATCACAAATATCATAATTAGAGAGAATTAAGATAAATTTATGAATGGCATTGTATCTAGCGTTATGGCTATGTGTTTATCTGGTATTCACACAAGGTGCCGAAGGAAGTATTAATGTGAGCCTCACTTTTACTTGTTTGTTCTATCTTTAAAATATTTCATTCCTAATGTTATAACTTTTCTATATTTTTGGTTTGAACAATTTTTATAGGAATTTGAATGTGTTGGGATATATAAACAACCGGCTTTTCAACATCCACTGTTGAAAAATCATAAGATTCAGGTAAAGTAGTGTATATTTATATATATTACATTAGACTTTTTATACGAATCTTATTTTTCTTTTGTTACTTGTGAATTGTGATATATACAATTACAACCAGTTTTTGCTCAATGGATACAAAATACCCATGCTTTAGCACCGGGTGTAACAGCCCCCGGTGAAACAGCGAGCACCAGTTTGACTTGGGGGGGCGGTGAATTAGTAGCAGTGGGTGGCAAAGTAGCTTTGTTACCTATTCCATTAGGAACGGCGGATTTTTTGGTACATCATATTCATGCATTTACAATTCATGTGACGGTATTGATACTGTTGAAAGGTGTTTTATTTGCTCGTAGTTCGCGTTTAATACCAGATAAAGCAAATCTTGGTTTTCGTTTCCCTTGTGATGGCCCTGGAAGAGGAGGAACATGTCAAGTATCTGCTTGGGATCATGTCTTCTTAGGACTATTTTGGATGTACAATGCTATTTCGGTAGTAATATTCCATTTCAGTTGGAAAATGCAGTCAGATGTTTGGGGTAGTATAAGTGATCAAGGGGTGGTAACTCATATTACTGGAGGAAACTTTGCACAGAGTTCCATTACTATTAATGGGTGGCTCCGCGATTTCTTATGGGCACAAGCATCTCAGGTAATTCAGTCTTATGGTTCTTCGTTATCTGCATATGGTCTTTTTTTCCTAGGTGCTCATTTTGTATGGGCTTTCAGTTTAATGTTTCTATTCAGTGGGCGTGGTTATTGGCAAGAACTTATTGAATCCATTGTTTGGGCTCATAATAAATTAAAAGTTGCTCCTGCTACTCAGCCTAGAGCCTTGAGCATTGTACAAGGACGTGCTGTAGGAGTAACCCATTACCTTCTGGGTGGAATTGCCACAACATGGGCGTTCTTCTTAGCAAGAATTATTGCAGTAGGATAATGGCTAGGAGGATTTGAAAGGCATTATGGCATTAAGATTTCCAAGGTTTAGCCAAGGCTTAGCTCAGGACCCCACTACTCGTCGTATTTGGTTTGGTATTGCTACCGCACATGACTTCGAGAGTCATGATGATATTACTGAAGAACGTCTTTATCAGAATATTTTTGCTTCTCATTTCGGGCAATTAGCAATAATTTTTCTGTGGACTTCCGGAAATTTGTTTCATGTAGCTTGGCAAGGTAATTTTGAGACATGG